TCTAAGATTGCAGACAATAAAAGTAAGAATGATTCTGTATTCGTCAGATGTCGAGAACGGCAGGACGAGTAGCCAGGGAAGATAAATGTATTATAAATGTTCAAGTCACTATTCCCTTTTTCTTAGTAATGTAATTCAGTTTCAGATAGAATTATTTACGAAAGTTGTAAGAATGTTTGTCCACTTTGTTTTCCGCAAGCAAAAGGCGAGTGTGGTTGGCGGTCCGAGCGAAAATGCTATGTGACAATCATCACAGTTTAAACATTTTTAGGAATATTTGGTTGACGGATTTTGTATATATACAATATGCTAATGTTTTATGCACTAAAATGAATATAGAAAGTAAAATAACAAAAATACCGAGCTCCGAGAAAAAATCAAAACAGAAAGTCCCTAATCAAATGGGAAAATTAAAAGCTCGAATACATTAAACGAATGGATAACAACTGCCATATTTCTGACTTGTAAATGACGCGTAGTTAGCAACTAAAATCTAAAAATTCTTTCAAATTCTTCCTCTCAACTTTTTCTTGCAACTATGCTCGTTCTCGCTCATGCAGACAATCAATTATGTTCCACCTTTAGATATCGTGACGTCTGATTTTTTAATTCGGTTCAGTATTTTGAATTTAAAGAAGAAATTTTTGCACTCTGAGTTGAGACCGACAACAAATTTTAATAACTGTAAAACTTTCTTGTTGTCATGTTTAATGATTGTATCATACAATCCATCATGAGTTACCAAATTCTAAATATCAATATATTTAAATATAAAGTACAAACATGGCCATTGTTAATCTATGATATCATAACGAATTGTTTCAGTTTGAAAGTATACACATACTGCTTCATTTTGAAACGTTTCAGAACTTGACCTTTTTTGAAATACTCAGACTTGACGAATTAATATTTGTTATAATATGCAAGGCATGCTAGCTGTTCGTTTTTTAATAGTGTACTCGATATCTTGTTTTCTATATTTTAAACGGCAGATAAGACGATCTTTTGTATTTCAATCAAAGTTAACTGCGAACTGCATTTTTTCATGAGAAACAAAGACATTCTAAAACATTTTATCAATCGATGCAAAGCGAACCTGCTCGCAAATTAATGGTCTAGATACATTGGAGCTCCAAACTCCAACCTACATGTAGGTACTCAAATAGGTTGTCAAGCAAAATACATATAAAATACGTATGATACGAATATGAGTCAATTAGTACATACCGTGTTTCTGGAATAATCTTTAGCAATCCTCGAGACCAATATATTTGATAGTCAGAAACACAAAAAGTTCGACAGATTTGAGGTTACAGGGCCAAGGAGCCCAGAAATATAAAACGCCCTGTAACCAAAAAATTAACCACGTACAACAAAAAGATAGTGTGACGTCTGATTATCAGGTTTACACACAACATTGAGTTAAACATTCATCAAGGCAGAGTATGCAAACACTTATTAAATTAATGAACATTTTATCACGTCCCCCTTTTTAGATTGCTGCACCTCCGACTGAATTTTCATCGAATCTATTCTGAACTAACTCGACGGGTACTAACTGTTTTGATTCGAGCCCAACTGTGTAGACAAAACGCCCGTCTTGTGTATTGAATTATAATCATGTTATCTATGATCAGTTTTTTATCTGTTTTATTCGACTCGTGATTTTGAATGCCAATCTTCTCTACCTTTTGACACCAGATAAATCTATTAACAAGATTTGAGTTTATTGTAAATTTACAATTGTCATCATTTATTCCATCTCAATCATTAACATAGGAACACTTTTAATTTCAATAGAGAAACTTTAAAATATCAGTACAACCAGTAATGATAGACATAATATAGCTAGGGAGTATTTTGTTCTTTTTGGTTAATATCATCAAGCATAGAACTGATCTTAAGTACACGACTCTTTATGAGGCCTATTCAGTTACATTTACTGCAATACTGGAAACCCTCATTCAGAAATCAAGACTGATAAATCTTATTTACACATCACCTGCGAAGTCCAATGATATTGTGGTTACACTTACATGTACAGGGCAGAGACTTGTATTAAGGGTCAGTAACATTATAAAAGCTACCGATGCTTCCAAAACGGGTTTTTGGGTTACATGACATAATCACTTGACAAACTGTAGGCATGTGCCTTTCCACCATTTTGCCTAATACCGAAAGTTTTGAAACACATAAATCAATACCTATGTGTAATACTACTAATTAGTCCACTGTGGCCAAAAAGACGTTGGTACACAACACTTTTACACAAATCAATAGGAGAACCTATCAAACTTCTTATACTCTTATTCTTAAAATAAACTTAATGGTCAAGTAACTCGTGATGGGGTTTTTCCTCTCAAAAAGACTGGAAACCATCTATCCTTGTATTGCATGAACTCAAACGTGACACAACATACGGTGTTAAGGTCATAAGAATCAAAGCTCTTATTAAAATCTTCCATAAATCAAATCTAATTTATATACATCTATCCCATCAAACTTGAAATTAAATTTTGTTCTCAATATACCCTCATTGTTAATTTTTAAAAGTCAAGACATGAAGCATACTTAAAAATGTGTCTGTGTATCCTCAATTGCAAGATCGATGGGACAGATGTACATCAATTACATTCGATTTATGGAAAATTTGAATAAAAAAAACTGAAAACAACACGTTTGATAATTGCTTGCGTCCGAAACGCTTTTCTGGATTTACCTTTATCAGGAACGCTCTACACAGCCAAATTTTGCTCACGTGAATTTCACGTGAATCTCATTTCACGTGAATTTCACGTGAACTTCACATGAATTTCACATGAATTTCACGTTAATTTCACGTGAAGTGATTTCACGTGAAATTCACGTTAAATTTTCACGTGAAATTATTTCACGTGAATTTCACGTAAAACATTTCATGTGAATTTCACGTGAAAAAAGATAAATGGTGTCTAAGTTAAAAAAAATAACCGAAAATCAAACATTTTGTCAACCTCTAATATCTTGTATTATATGTATCATATATTCCATGGAAATCTTAATTTAATTTGAAAAATTCTATTTTCACGTGAAATTCAAGTGAATATTTCACGTGAAATTCATGTGAGTATTTCACGTGAGTATTTCACGTGAAATTCACGTGAATATTTCACGTTAAATTCATGTGAATATTTCATGATATATTCACATGAAAAATTTCACGTTAAATTAACGTGAACAATTTCACATGAAATTAACATGAATCAAAACTCATGTGAAAATGTTATGTTTCATTTTATCTGAATTAAACTATGAATTCATAAGAGAAATTTAACTTTATTGAGTTAAATTTTTGTAACATGAGAAACAAATTCACCTGAATTTTGATATTATTCATTCCAATTTTCTTTTTGCAAAATTGAATCATTTCAAAACTGTTATTCTTTGTCTCTCAAGATTTACACATTTGGACATACAATCATTGTAAATGATAAATATTTATCTTTTTGTTAAGCATGAATTATCTCCCTTGATAGTGGGTTAGATGCAACTACAAAAACATGTTGGTTTTGAATTATATTTTCTATCACTGTTTATATTTATCTCTAGTAGAGTCATTAGGATGGAATTTTGTATACATGTGTATCTCTTATTTCAAATTCCTAGATGCCTATATTATATTGATGGACTAATTGATTTACTAGTAATATTTCTATAATTATTAAGTAGTAAATTTAATTACTTTCACACATCTTATGTCTTCTTTACTTTTATACTTTTAAAAAATGTGGGAGGTAACTCCAACTTATGAAATAGATTACTGTTACTGTAATAGATTCTTTACTTCCCATTATTGCAAAGAAAAAAAGGATAATATATATCATATATATATCATTAATTTCCAAACATGAGTTATCTCCCTTTTTTACTGTGCATAAAACTTTTCCTCAAACTTATAAGTCAAGAAAATTTGTGAGCATTGAATCGCACATAAGTTTAACATTAGGACATATATGAATAAAAACTAGTAAGAATACAGAAAAGAATTTTATATGTACTAAATTTTGTCAATAAATGTAAATTTGAATGTTTATCAATTTTTTAAGTATATTGAAAGTGCAGTATAAAATTTTTTGTATTGCTTTTTATAACATGACATCTATACAAGAAGCAAATTTTGTTTATAATCTTTAAAATTGAAAGATTGCATGATCAATTGTTGCACTGGGACATATTTTAAAATTACAAAACAATTTTACGTCCCTGTATTCTTAGATTAATGTTTTTATTCAGAAAAAATGAATGGTTACATCAAGGAATTGTATATTTAAATATACAATTCCTTGGTTACATTTACACTTTATTATTAAAAAAAACTTACATTCTTTAAGCTTTAATAAATGTGTGGTAAATGATTGCCAATTAGACAAGGCTTGCTCATTGAATTAAGGTTAAACATTTTACTTTTGTATAGATATATATATATATATTCTTTTACACAATGAAATCACAGTCATAATTGAAATTATATTTAATATATTTATTCTGATTTTATAAATATATATATTAAAGAGTTGTAAGGGTTTAATTAACTAACAGCTCCATGTGGAGGTGCTCCTATGTAAAGGATGCTTATTAACAAAATAATTTGTTATATGTTCCAAGGATTAGTATAGTAGGAATGGGGGAACTAGCAGGTACCTATTTTTCACTTTTCACATGGAGAAATACTTTGAACATCAGATCAGGACAATATCCGTGAATCTCTCGTCCGGAGTCGGGTTTTTTTAAAACGCTTGTAAGATACAGATTATGACGCGTCTTAAAGAGAAGAACGCCGTCAGCCGATTGTCAACAACAGAACTTGTTTCAGTTAATTTAACAAGACAAGCAATACCAATGAGCTATGAATCAATGAATACTCGAGGATGTACTACAGGTAACTCAAACAAATGATTTAATAGTGCAGGAATAAACAGAAATCTGCAATGACTGAATGAGAATGGTTTTCATCTTCGTTTTCGTTCGCTCCCAAATAATTTTTATACACGTTCGCCCCATAGGACCTAACGCATCTAATTTCAAATTCCAGTTGAATTGTAAGTTATTTTATTATTTGTATACAGTAACGTAGCTTGCATTCTGTTATTTACGAAGTCAAGGGGTCTTAAGCTATCGATTTTTTATCAATTTGAACAAACTAAAGTTAAACTACCAACTTATTAGTTCATTACCTGCTTATAATTTTTCAATGTTCATATGGATACTTGAATCTTTTAAGACGCATTCATGATTTAGTTTCTCATATCGAATTCTTTAAGTGTCGCAACTTCCCAGATAATGGCAGATTAAAAAATATTTATGAATAATGGAGATGGATATGTCAAATTCTGACTGAGTCTTATACAGTATAAATTTGTCACTTCTTTTTTTATTTGTGTATGATTCAAATCATACGTATTACTATCTTATCTATGATTAACTCAAAAGTTATATAGATAACAAACATTTGGCTGACTTGCAGTTATCACATACATGACACAAGACAATCACTGACAAGTTTCCGGACTTGCTAGCAGTAACTGAAAGCCAGATCAAATACAATGTACCTAATCTGTTGTACAAAATGTACACTCTAATACTGGTCACGTGGCTGTACCTCACTTTGAAATTAGATTTAACGTCATATCAGAAGCAACACAATTGACTTGAATTGTGTCAATTTTTTTTATTCCAGCATATTTAGATTACAGAAAACTACAAATGGTATGAATCAATAATGACAACAAAACGATACAGTATAAAAAAGAAGATGTGGAATGATTGCCAATGAGAATGCTACAGGTCACTGTACAGCATGGCCAACTATTATCCTCAGTGTAAGCCAGTACAAGTTATCGCGCATGATTTTAATTTCTTATCCGTCTGATCAGTCTTTTCTGTGTGTGATATCTTATCAAGACAACATGCTGAGTTTGTAAAGACAATGTTGACACTCGTTAATAATTTGACAACACTAAGTAAACAATATTATAACCATATGACATTGTAGCATGCTAGGTTCCGCATGAATACGAGTTGTATAAACTGACTTTATTTCCAAAAGATGAAATTCGATTTTACCGAATATCAAACATACAAAATAAAAAGTTGAAAAAGGACAAATACGAGATTATGATAACCAAACATATATACATGTATATATATCTATCATTAAATCGTTGGCTTGTTATAGTTTATAAAAGCACTTACATAAAATTAAAATTGTTCTTTAACAATTTCAAAAGCAAGAGGGTTGTAATTGTGAGGTTATATTATATTAGATATAATATTCTTGATTTCAGTAACATCATTTTTAGAGAAGTATGCAATGAGTTGACAATCAAAATATGGATAGATGTAATTCATGTAATAACAAAATACATAATCGAAAAATGATTCACTATAGCCATCAATAGAAATGTTCACACGATGTTGTTCGATTTTGATATATCTTAAACCTTTCTTTCAACGTAAATCCGAATATGAGACAATGTAGATTTTTATCTTGTTTTACATAAAGAAAGTCCCACAGAAAAAGTGTATACAATAATGTTCAGAGTATAATTTAAAAAAAGGGGGGGGGGAGTACCCTGCCCAGATAATAATATAACTGATATGTAAAGGAAAGTTTTAACCACAGATTTGAACTTGACAATTTTATCTGAAATTCACACCAGGTGACCAAATACATGTTGAAATTTGTGAACTTCACACGGATATCTTTAGAAAACATGCTAATCGAAACAACAGGGGTCGCAGGCATCTGTTTTCAAGTATAATTCTGAATTTTAACGTTTCCAATTATCTTATTCATTTGATAAATTAAAAATTTCAAATTCTGCAAATACATGTACAATATACATTTTTTTTTTTATAAATTTTGTAAATGTAAGAAGATGTGGTATGAGTGCCAATGAGACAGCTCTCCGTAAACTTTACATTAACAGAAAAATAATTAAAATAAGTTTCCTTTTTAATAAATATTTTACATAAATCATTAAATGTTCAATTGCAAAATTAAAATTTTTTTCATGATAGAATCTTTTGAAAGGACGGAGACAATTTAAAAATAATATTTATTTTGTTCAATGCGATTTATTTTTCTCAAAGTTAAGTGTATAAAAGGAGAATGTGCATCAAACAAGCAATAGACTAGTAAATTCACATGTACATGTATGTATCTAAAATTTTGTTTCTTAAACTGTTAAAATATTTTAGTTCAATTTATTTCAATTTTAAGCTATTGCCGTTTTGTAATCTTTAAATTAGCATTACTATATACAAATATTTTCGTATATAGTCCACACTGGAACATATGCTGCCCTTGTCTTATTCTTTTAAGACTTTGGCAATTGGTTTATCTTGGAGAATTTTTTTTTTTTTCTCATTTGAAACTTTTGTGCATTGAAATTTACAATTTATAAAGTAAACTTGAAAAGAAAGAGGCTATTAAACATTGTTAAACCGTCAAAGAAAAAAAAAACACAAACAACTCATGTCTACTGAGAATAACAGAAGTTATCACATTGTCATGTGTTAATTATTTATCCATGAATATTATATTTACCGGTTTGACTTAGATTATTTCTGGTCAACTTCAAAAAATGATCGCATCTTGATTTTTGAATAAAAAAGGCCCTGATTCAAAAAAAATTGTAAAATATGAAATTTATATCGTTGGATAGATTTAAAACCAGAGAATAAATATACATGCGAATGAAGCTGTTTCTAATAAAGATTTTATGTCAATTCATTAAAGAAAACCCATGTGCACACATTTTTGGTTTCGTATTGTATGAAGTACAATGTAATAGGTCGTGCACCCGGTGTTCTTTAATTGAAAAAGGCCCTAACTTCTGCAATCCTTATCAAAATACAAATTAGATCTGTAGAAAGCTTATAAATTGAACTTTCAAAATTGATGCCAATGAAAAAGAAATTTAATGATATTTACAGACAGCTAATCAAAATTTAAGATTTCCTTTAACAATCTATAGTAAATTTATCGATATCGATTGTGGTCAAATTTGACGCATGCGCAAAGCGGGTGCTGATAATAGTTGCGTATGGCCTTCAACAATGAGCAAAGCCCATACCACAAACCCAGCTATAAAAGGCCCCAAAATCACAAATGTAAAACATACAAACAAGAAAACTAATGGCATAATTAATGTATAAAAAATGAACGCTAAAAACAAATATATATGTAACAAAGCAACAAAGGACAACCACTGAATTAATATTACAGGCTCCTGACTTGGGACCGGCACATATATACAGAATGTGGCGGGGTTAAACATGTTAGTGGAATCCAAACCCTCGCCCTTATATATAGAATAGAATAGAATATTTTTATTCACCAAATTAGGGCCCCAGAAGGGCATATAGCAAACAAACAATATTATTATAAACAATAATATTTAGATATGTATACATTATGACAAGTTCACAGATCAAGTTCAATATATATTCTGTTCAGAAAAAATAACTTAAGTTGTTTTAATTTTGCAGAGCTACACTCACGCAAACAATCAGTTTTTCACTTTCATTTTTATACAATCGCAAAAAATTAAAAAATTTTGCGGTCGTATATTGGTATGAAGTTGGCGTCGTCGTCTTCGTCCGAAGACACATTGGTTTTCGCACAATAACTTTAGTTCAAGTGAATGGATCTCTATGAAATTTTACCATAAGGTTTGATACCACAAAAGGAAGGTTGGGATTGATTTTGGGGGTTATGGTACCAACAGTTAAGGAATTAGGGGCCAAAAATAAGCATTTTTGTAACTTCCAGACAATAACTTGTGTGTTAGTGTATGGATCTCTCTGACATTGTACCACAAGGTTTTCATATCACAAAGGGAATGCTGGGATTGATTTTGGGGGTAATTGCCTCAAAATTTTAGGCGAGTCCCCTGGGGTCACCCCCACCCCATTTTTTTTGAAAACTTGTAAAGGGTCAAGATCACCACCCCGAAACCATATATATTCTTGTATGGGACAATAAAACAAATCAAATGAAATCCATGGGGGTATAAGGCGAGTCCCTTTGGGTCACCCCCACCCCCCTCCTGTTTAAGAACTTGTAAACGGTCGAGCTTTTCATTATTAATAAGATAATACCACATTGAGGTCCAAAGGGTCCTAAATTAAACTTTTGTTTAATTTCATCAAAAATTGAATTCTTTGGTTCTTCGATATGCTGATTCTAACAATGTTTGAGTGTTAAATCATATCTAATTTTAGAGAACTTATATTAATTAGTCATCACTGGTTGTTGTTATTATATTATTGATTATAATTTTAAAAAAATGCATCATATCTTATTTTAGAGAACTATTTATCCAGTTTGAGTTATTTCCATTTGCACAGAAAATATTATGGATAAAATTAACCTGTGTTTCATTTCAACATAAATTAAATATATATATAGGGTTCTTTCAAATGCTGAATTTAAACTCTATTTAGATATTAGATTTTTAGGCCCAGTTTTCAAGTTGGTCCAAATCAGGGTCCAAAGGGTCCTAGATTAAACTTTTGTCTGATTTCATCAAAAATTGAATTCTTGGGGTTCTTTGATATGCTGATTCTAATATGTACTTAGATTTTGGATATTGGACCATAATAGGTATTTAAATGTCCAATTTCAAATATATCAGTTCTTTGACTACATTCATTTTGTGTCACAAACCTATGATGTGTCAAATATTCAATCACAATCCAAATTCAGAGCTGTTTTAAGTTTAAATGTAGTGTCCATACTTGCTCAACTGTTCAGGGTTCGACCTCTGCAGGAAAATCCGGTTTGCTGTCTCTCTGACAGCCTCTTGTTCAAATTAGTCTACATTAGGGTCCAAAGGGTCCAAAATGAAACTTAGTTTGATTTTAACGAAAATTGAATTCTTGGGGTTCTTTGATATGCTGAATCTAACCGTGTATGTATTTAGATTTTAGATATTGGACCATAATAGGTAAATTAAAAAATTTTAAGTTGTTTGACCACATTCATTCTGTGTCAGAAACCTATGCTGTGTCAAATATTTAATCACAATCCAAAGCTGTATCAAGCTTGAATGTTGTGTCCATACTTGCTCCAACTGTTCAGGGTTCGACCGCTGCGGTCGTATCAAGCTGCGCCCAGCAGAGCATTTTATTGTTATATATGCTTGAAGATATTGATCTGATAATTTTCATGATTATTGCATGGTATACATGTAGTTTTACCATGACAAGTTGCATATCAAGTTCAAATTTTGTTTCAGTTCAGATGATTTTTTTTTTTTATAGCAGAAACTGTTTAGGACAAATGTAGGAATTATGGTCCAAAACAAGCATTTTTCATGTTTCATGGCAATAAATTGTGTATAAGTGTAGGATAACTATAAAATTGTACTACTTAATAGGTCATTTGTAGGTTCCATACCTCAAAAGAAAGTTTGGATTAATTTTTGGGGTAACAGACTAAACCATGTAAACCATTCATGCCATTTAATAATTTGGGGCCAAAAAAAAAAGAAGGATTTTCTGGTTTCCAAACATTTAAGTCTTGAATAATATACATTGTACATCATTTGTATATGTTCATACACCTGAACTAATATATACATTTGTAGATAAAAGAAGATATGGTATAATTTCCCTTCACCCAAGATTAAATGACATACATGTAGAAGTTAACATAAACTACAGGTCACAGTTCATCCTTCAACAATGAGCAAATCCTATACAGTCTAAGGGGAAATTGTAAACAATCAATTTCAAATGGTTACAACTTGAAAACTAATTTAATAATGACAAGGGGTCTCCAGTTACTGTTGTAAGACTACAATGGGATGACCTGCTTTTAGTTTAAACTACTGGACCAAATTTAATAAAATCATTAAAAGGGTATCTAATACATGTAATACTATTTATTATGATTTTCAAAACAACAGTGGTAACAGGTGAGTGACACAGGCTCTTGAGAGCCTCTAGTTGATATTTGATAGTACAATTCTAAGTTTAATATAAATACATATAGCAAGAAATACATGTATATTATAAGCTAATTGTTTGCAAAACTCTTTGAATAGTATTGCGTCCACAAATGTACTGTTTTCTCCCTTTCAGCAGTATTACAAGGTATGGGCAGAGGAGTTGACTATTGATAATGACTGATACTGGAATTAATGAAGTAACCTACATGTAGTGTCCAATCTCTATGTGGAGTTTGCCTATCAGACAGTCCATTTTTACATGTACCAAAAAATGTACGTTGACAGCCAATGCTAAGTATTAATCTTAAACATATATTCAATGATTGTATGTGCATCTCTAATACATATATTTCGCTGTTGTGTGGCTTTATTTCTGATCAGAGACTGATAAAAATCAGATTATCCTTTATTTTAAGTTCAAATATTATGTACTAGTAACTACATGTACTCAAAGTCTTGCATTCATTTAACTAATAATGATGATGCAGCATCCAACAAAAAGTATATCTTTTTGACCTTCATTTTATGCCTCACTGATTGTGTATATGTATGAATTCTGTCAGATTGTGGTACTTAAAAAAAGTTTTGAGTGTTTTGCACATATGCTTTGTCATTGGACTTTAAATAAATTTGATTTCTGATAATGGCAGAGTGTTTTGAACATTGCTTCATAGAGATGATCAGATTACCTTTAATCAATATATATACAATGTACATGTACACTGCTACTGTAAAATAAAGTTTCCTAAATACTGCACTAATTTTAAAGTAACAAAATAGTACTGAATATTAAAAGTAGATTTCCAGTACTACATATGTTTGGTACAGAAATAGTACCTATGCAAAAGTAGCTGTGTATATAAATAGAATTTAATTGTTGCAGATTGATAATTTTTAGTAATTTGAAAATAAGGAGATGTGGTAGGATTGCCAATAAGAAAACTATCATGATCAGCCACGGTCAAAATGAAGGGGATGTAAGCAGTTTTAGGCCACTTTAAGACCTTCAACAATGAACAGAACAATACTGTTTACTCAGCTGTTAAAGATCTTGACAAAATGCGCAACAGTTCCATCTAGAAATTTAGTACTAGTCATTTTGCTAGTGACGTTCACTTATTGGTTAAAAGAAAAATTAATTGTTTTCTCTCTTGGTGAATATTTTTATGCCCCTGCCGTAGCGGTGGGGGCATTAAGTTTTACCCTTGACCGTCTGTACGTACGTCCCAAAATTGGTTTCCGTTCTCTAACTTGAGTTTGCCTCAACCAAATGTTTTGAAACTTATACACAATGCTTAGTACCAGAAAACACAGATCAAGTTTGAATTAATTTTGGTGGCGTCACTTTAACCGTTCTAGAGTTATGCCCCTTTATAAATGGAAAAATTGCAAAATTTTTAGTTTCCGTTCTCTTACTTAAGTTTGCCTCAACCAAAAGTTATGAAAATTATACACAATTCTTATTACCACAAAACACAGATCAAGTTTGAATTTTGGTGGCGTCACTCTAACCGTTCTAGAGTTATGCCCTTTAGAAATGGAAAAATTGCAAAAGTTTTAGTTTCCGTTCTCTAACTTAAGTTTGCCTCAACCAAATGTTATGAAACTTATACACAACCGTTCTAGAGTATTGCGTGTTTACAAATAGAAAAATTGCTGAATTTTTAGTTTCTGTTTTCTACTTAAATTAGCCTCAACCGAATGTTATGAGACTTACATACAATGCTTATTACCACAAAACTCAGATCAAGTTCAAATTTGGGTAGCATCACTTTTACCGTTCTTCAGTTATGTCCCTTTATAACTATATGATATGCAAGCAGGGGCATCATCTGTGTCCTCATGTGGACACTATCAACATTTATTCAAAACAATTGCCTGTGTGAATTTGACATATATCTAAATGAATTTTCAGTTGTATTGCCATTTTTTTATTTGGAAAACAGTTCATCAGCATGATCAGGTTCAGATCTTATATTTATATTAATCACTGGAATTTAAATTTTCAGAATTAGCTCCCCAGATGTAAGTGGAAGTGAAGTTATACATGTTATATGTTTCGATGAAATGAATGACTTGATTAGATATACATGTAGTGGAGACCCTATAGATACAGTACATGTAACTGGTATGTATTTGTTACAGTATTTGCTGTCAAAATTGTATAACAAAAATGCCGAATCCTGTGCAAATTTAAAAAGGAGTCCACGCAAACTGACAAAATAAAAAAACACTATCAATCAACAGATCAAGGGAAAAGTTAATCTGCTATATATACATGTATGGAATAGGCATGTAGTTAGATTTGTTTACCCCTTTTCAGTCCATGTAAATTTATGAGAATAGAATTTTATGTTCTGGATTTCCTTAGATTTCAATTCTTATTTCATATTAATATTCCCATGTGTATGCTTGACCAAGATTAAACAATAACTGCTATCATGAATTAGACCATTTTTGTCTTGTCTGCAACTGATTGTATGGTGTACATGTCTGTCTGGGAAGGGTTCATCTTACCATGACCTGATATTCATAGTTCATTAATCAATAATAAGTTTCATATTTTGGTCTGTTTGCAGAGGCGGAGTGCCAATAAAAACACAATTCTGGTCCCCTTACACATGCTACAGCACATGTAGTTATGCCCAGCAACAGTCGAGGGGGAATAATATCAATTTACCCCTGTCCGTCCGGATGAGGATACTTTGTTTGTCTGGCTATCTCCTCCTACAGTTTTGGAGGTACAACTTGTTAACATGGCAAAGTTCAACCATAATGAACCGCCACACCTCCGTTGCAGAGGTAATTAAATAATGTACAGTCTGCTAGATTATCAATTTTCAGATCATTTGGAGTTTTGATTTATACCCCTATGGAAGCTAATCACAAATTTCTTAACTGGAAAAGTATCAGGTAACCAGATGTTTCCAGACTGCATAGAGCCATAAACATACTGTGTTAGTATTGTAATTTAAATGGGGCTAAGACATGTAAGAAGGGGGCTTGAAAATGATGAGTTGTGTTTCTATAGGCACTAAGTATACTTATATATACAGGTAATGTGTAGTACACATACATGTACATGAATATGGTTTGTTTTCATAAGTAATTTATTATAAAATTTGACATGGTATGATTGCCAATGAGACAACTATCCACCAGAGTCAAAATGACTGAATATTGACAACTATAAATGATCATATGTACAGCTTTCAACAATGAGCAAAACTGATACAGCATAGCGAGCTACAAAATGTCCTGAAACAGGGTTGGCAAAAACCTGGGTTTTATGAGTATTGCCCAGCCCAGTGGGAATTACTGGGTTTTACTGGGTAAATCACCATCAAATCACCAATTGATGATGTCTGAGCTTAAAATACAAAACAGTTATCTCCTAATTATAAGTTTGGTAAATCATTGGAGATTAAATTGGTGTTATCTTTTTTGCTTGACTACAGAAACAAACATGCTGATTTTATTATATTACAGGAACTGTAGGAAGTATTCAAAGAGTCTGATTGCTAAGTATGCATTACAGGATTTTATCATTGGAGCAACATCTTAGGAGGAGAAGTGCAAATGTATGACGGAATCCTTAGGTACAAATAGCAATTATATGCAGAAGAGGACTCTTAAACATTATTAACAGACATGTAGTCAGAAATAAGAAGTAAATGGTTGTAAATTACAGAGAGCCTTTCAATATGGTACATTTGTATATCAGCTATATCTGTATATTTCTCAGAACTTTCTATTTTAGTTTATTAGTACAATGAGACATGAGGTATACATCAATCAGCCAGCAATATAACAACAAAAACACCTAAAAGGCATTAAGGTGCAGTCCTCAACAAAAGACAGGTGTCTAAAAGATATGCCATGATCTATTTAATTGACCAGAGGCTATAAAAAAAATTACAATATGAATCAAGAATAGCCATCAACACCAAATTCTCTGAATATTTTTTTTTTATTAAGACGAGATTTTTGACAACCACTGAAAAGATTTCTGGCTTTAAGCAGGTACATGAATATGTGGCGAGGTGAACTAGTTTTTTTTCTTCAAAACCTTCTTAAAGAGAATTGGCATCTTTTGCAAGTAGGTCTTTTCCATAATGTGATTGGTTTGTGTCAAAACTGATGACCACACAATATGACTTATACAAACATAATAAAAATCAACTCAAATGAAATATACATCAGTGCAATCAACTTCTATAAATGACCACAGTCCATAAATCATTTACAAAAAAGGATTGAGACTCAACACAACCAAAAAAGTTCTAGGAGTGAACTAAGGTTCCCTGGATATACTTTATATCCTGTGATGCATTTGCTTGCCTTCTTTGTTTAAGACCAAAAAATTTTGGAAACAAAGAAAGTAAAACAGAATGGAAGTATGAACACATGGTCCAGACCAAGAAGAATATTTTTCATGTTTATATATATATCAAAACAGAATTTGTATTAGATTAGAATTGACTTACATAAATAAGCTCAAATCCTGTGAAATTAGTGTGATTGAGGCTGAATTCACTTTAATTTCATTAAAAAAAAGAAGCTCGATTCATGTTAATTTCACGTGAAAAGTTCACGTGCATTTCACGTGAAGGCTCAATTCACGTGAATTTCACATGAAAAATTTCACGTGAATTTCACGAGAATCAGTATTTCACGTGAAAATCACGTGAGTTTAACGTGAAATTCACGTGAAATATTTCACGTGAATTACGCGTATAAGCTCGATTAACGTGAAATTCACGTGAATTTTTTCACGTGAAATTCACGTTAATTTCACATTAAATTCACGTGAACAAAATTTGCCTGTGTACACAAAGGTATTGATTTATGTGTTTCAAAACTTTCGATATTAGGCAAAGTGGTGGAAAGGCACATGCCTACAGTTTGTCAAGTGATTATGTCATGTAACCCAAAAACCCGTTTTGGAAGCATCGGTAGCTTTTATAATGTTACTAACCCTTAATACAAGTCTCTGCCCTGTACATGTAAGTGTAACCACAATATCATTGGACTTCGCAGGTGATGTGTAAATAAGATTTATCAGTCTTGATTTCTGAATGAGGGTTTCCAGTATTGCAGTAAATGTAACTGAATAGGCCTCATAAAGAGTCGTGTACTTAAGATCAGTTCTATGCATGATGTTATTAACCAAAAAGAACAAAATACTCCCTAGCTACATTATGTCTATTATTACTGGTTGTACTGATATTTTAAAGTTTCTCTATTGAAATTAAAAGTGTTCCTATGTTAATGATTGAGATGGAATAAATGATGACAATTGTAAATTTACAATAAACTCAAATCTTGTTAATAGATTTATCTGGTGTCAAAAGGTAGAGAAGATTGGCATTCAAAATCACGAGTCGAATAAAACAGATAAAAAACTGATCATAGATAACATGATTATAATTCAATACACAAGACGGGCGTTTTGTCTACACAGTTGGGCTCGAATCAAAACAGTTAGTACCCGTCGAGTTAGTTCAGAATAGATTCGATGAAAATTCAGTCGGAGGTGCAGCAATCGAAAAAGGGGGACGTGATAAAATGTTCATTAATTTAATAAGTGTTTGCATACTCTGCCCTGATGAATGTTTAACTCAATGTTGTGTGTAAACCTGATAATCAGACGTCACACTATCTTTTTGTTGTACGTGGTTAATTTTTTGGTTACAGGGCGTTTTATATTTCTGGGCTCCTTGGCCCTGTAACCTCAAATCTGTCGAACTTTTTGTGTTTCTGACTATCAAATATATTGGTCTCGAGGATTGCTAAAGATTATTCCAGAAACACGGTATGTACTAATTGACTCATATTCGTATCATACGTATTTTATATGTATTTTGCTTGACAACCTATTTGAGTACCTACATGTAGGTTGGAGTTTGGAGCTCTTTGATTGGAATACAAAAGATCGTCTTATCTGCCGTTTAAAATATAGAAAACAAGATATCGAGTACACTATTAAAAAACGAACAGCTAGCATGCCTTGCATATTATAACAAAGATCAATTCGTCAAGTCTGAGTATTTCAAAAAAGGTCAAGTTCTGAAACGTTTCAAAATGAAGCAGTATGTGTATACTTTCAAACTGAAACAATTCGTTATGATATCATAGATTAACAATGGCCATGTTTGTACTTTATATTTAAATATATTGATATTTAGAATTTGGTAACTCATGATGGATTGTATGATACAATCATTAAACATGACAACAAGAAAGTTTTACAGTTATTAAAATTTGTTGTCGGTCTCAACTCAGAGTGCAAAAATTTCTTCTTTAAATTCAAAATACTGAACCGAATTAAAAAATCAGACGTCACGATATCTAAAGGTGGAACATAATTGATTGTCTGCATGAGCGAGAACGAGCATAGTTGCAAGAAAAAGTTGAGAGGAAGAATTTGAAAGAATTTTTAGATTTTAGTTGCTAACTACGCGTCATTTACAAGTCAGAAATAAGGCAGTTGTTATCCATTCGTTTAATGTATTCGAGCTTTTAATTTTCCCATTTGATTAGGGACTTTCTGTTTTGATTTTTTCTCGGAGCTCGGTATTTTTGTTATTTTACTTTCTATATTCATTTTAGTGCATAAAACATTAGCATATTGTATATATACAAAATCCGTCAACCAAATATTCCTAAAAATGTTTAAACTGTGATGATTGTCACATAGCATTTTCGCTCGGACCGCCAACCACACTCGCCTTTTGCTTGCGGAAAACAAAGTGGACAAACATTCTTACAACTTTCGTAAATAATTCTATCTGAAACTGAATTACATTACTAAGAAAAAGGGAATAGTGACTTGAACATTTATAATACATTTATCTTCCCTGGCTACTCGTCCCGCCGTTCTCGACATCTGACGAATACAGAATCATTCTTACTTTTATTGTCTGCAATCTTAGATATATAAACTTTTTTATCTATTGTGTATAGATCTTGCTCATCGTCTATATAAACAATCTTTTACTGATATATTTAACTTTTTAAATAATTTTGTATTACAAATAAATCAAGTCGATGTCCGAAAAGAAGCTTGAACAATATCTTATAAGGAAAATACCTTAAGTCAAATCTGACAAAACTAGAAACCCAATAATTATATCTGACAGCAAAGGAAATTATTTAAAAGCACATGCTGAATCTGAATTCAAACACGATATTAACTGGCATTGCGATAGAGGCAGATCTACTCTGAGAGGATACACCTGGCTTGAATCCAAAATAGAAAATATTGTTGAGCGTCTTGACAGCGTACATTTCTACATCTGGTTAGGCACTTGCGATTTAATGGCCTACCAACGTCTATTTATTTCACTTGTTATACCAACGAAAAATATACATGATATATTAAAATCAATATTTGACATTCACAACAAATATATAACATTACTTGCTAAATACCCGAAATCTCATCTCACCTTCTATGAAATACCGGTATACTCTATTATCGAGAGGAGTTAATATCAAAAGCATCATCAGTCATCCACTTTCAATCCACAAGACGATCAACTTTCACAAGTGGTAAAATTAAACCTCCATATCAAAGAATTGAACACTCAACTCCATACAAATTCATCACCTATTTTTTCAGTCGACATCTCGCATAATCAAGAGAAAAACTCTTAATAAAAAAGGTTCTCTCCGAGACAAAATTATAACTTCACTCTATACAAAATCGGCATTCATCCCAACGTTAATCTGGCAAAAGTCTGGCTTAGAAAAATTACAAACCTGATCATAAAAGACTGTTGGAAGCGTTAAAGTGATAACCAATAATGGGATCATCCACGACTGGTTATTCACTCCAAATAAACTCTTGAAACTCATTTTATTGTCTTCAGTTAGCCACATCTCATTCTCAACATGGCTTTGGAACCAACATTTACAAAATCTGAATCAACTGACAATCTCAAGTGGTCAACTTAATTAGACACCTCAAAACAGGTTATAGATAATATTTTACAAGAAATAAATCAAACTCACCTAATCGTTCAAAGGCTCTGGACAAAAAAACAAGATGCTTGTCAAAAACAACATATCAAATATGAAATGAAACCTGGCAAAAATTTTGTGACTGAGTTTCGTACAGCAACATTTGAGGTGACAAAAAATGACTTTCTAAAGTATTTCAAGTCAAGTAACTTTACCAACAATTTTGCATATACAGAACAAAGAGGTCTTGACTCAACTGATGTTACTGTAGATCATTGCTTTCATATATACAACCGCAAATTTAATGGTCAAATTGTCTCACAACTGAAATATGAAGTCAACCTTTACAACACAACTAGTCTCATAAATGTCAATGGCAGTAAAATTGATTTATTTGTAAATTATATTTTCAACAAATTATGTAATGACCAATGAACTGCAGGATAAATTTGACTCTCTGGATATTATCAATAACGCCATACCTTCTTACTTGGATGCAATTAATTCTACTAACAACTCTGCTTCAACACTACAAAATCCTCCATTTTTGTAATTGTAAAGTCAAGGCAGCAAACAATGATCCAATACCTTAACTAAGGGAATTTTTAGTGACATCTAAGTTTAAGAAACACTTTAGTATAGATGCTTTATGCATACGGGTAGAGATATATTTGCGACATTTTCTGTTGT